GGAGGAGGAGGAAGAGGAGGGGGAGGAGGGGGAGGAGGAGGAGGGGGAGGAGAAGAAGACGACCTGGCCCCTTCACAGATAAGGACTGATGTGAAGAGGTGACTGCAGAGGAGTTAAGAGTGACCTTTGGAAATAGTGTCAAGGAAGAGAGACAGGCAGAGGTCATGGAAAGAAAGCGCAATCTGAAAAACAGGAGGGAAACTAGCAAGTGTCACAGTGACAGGAGCAACAGTCTCGAGGAAGAGGAGGCTGCCAGCACTGGTAGGGAGGTGTCACCTGAAGAACAATTAGGAGTATTCGCTGCTCACTGTGAACCCTGCCAGGGAGGAGCTGGGTCCTCCTGTTGGGGCCTCCTTGGTAGCATGAAAACTGGGTGTTAACAGAGGGAAAGAAAGCTCCACCCCACCTTCCAGAAGAAGCAAAGGGGAAAGTTCCCGTGCAAGCTGGAAGGGGAAAGCCACTGTGTGTGTCTTATGGTCTCACAGAGGGAGGGAGGCAACATGGCCCAGAGGACAAGGGACGGGGGTTCCTGCATGACACCCCTACTTGGGAGAGGATTCTAATCTCTCTGAACCACAGTTTCCTTATCTATTAGATTACAGGGCTGGCTTGGGTGCTCCTTATTTCTATTTTCATCTCTAAAAGAGTCTTCAATTCTAGGTTGTGTCAGAAAGGGTGTTAGATACAAATGTGGGTTCTGTGGCCATCCTGATTTGCATGGGGTTACAGGCCAGAGTGGTTGTGGAATCCTTTGCAGTCACTGAAGCCTGATGTTGACATTTAGGATTTTCCCCAGTATAAGGGAAGTATGCACTTTGATACCCTCAGGCCTGGGCGAGGGAGACACTTGCATAAACATATCAGAACTGAAAATGGATGTACCCTCTCCCACAGCTGTAAGCATGTGAGAATTTATTCTGAGGAGATAATCAGGGACGTGTACAAAGATGTTGGGAATGGGGGAGGGGAATGGAAATGACTTAAATGTTGGAGAAGAGAATTAAAGAAGTTTGTCTATGTAATGGAATAATTAAAAAGGATGATATAAAAAATGTTGTAGTATGTATAGCGGTGGGGGGCGGGGAAGCTAGGCTGCAAAGTAGCAAATACATATAATCCCACTTCTAGGAAGGTACCCGCCAATGAATCTATCTACACATCCAGGGGTGAATTTGGCTTTGAGAGGTTTAGAAGGTTGTCTCCCTGCAGGGTCCTTTGATTTCCTCTCTGTTTCAATTTTCTATAACAGCTATGCACAGTCATACCTACTCATCCATGAGTCTGCATTCAGACTGAACCAACTGTGGATTGAAAATGTTTTAAAAATTACATTTATGCTGAACGTTTACAGACTTTTTTCTTTATCATTTTTCCCTGAACAATACAATTGTTGTGGCATTTATTGTGTATTAGGCATGTAGGTAATATAGAGATGGGAAGATGTATTATACACAATACTGTCTCATTTTATATAAGGTACTTGAGCATCTGAGGATTTTGGTGTCCTTGGGGTGACCTGGAGCTAATCCCCCTTGGACACCGAGGGATGACTGTATAATATTCGTATACTGGAAAACTTTGACAATAGTAAAATGTCCAAGCCACTTGAAAAATTTCAGTTCTCTCTCATTTTATTTAGCTCCTTTGGGTCAGGATGGGATTAGCACTGGCTGCAGCCCCAGAATCTGATTTTTGCATCTTGCTACAAAGATGGAGACGAGCAGTGGCTTCAATTAACGGAGCTCTCTCATGGCTAATCCACGGCATCGGTGGTGGTCCATAGGGGCCAGAGGGGAGGCAGAGGGTGGCAGAAACAGTGAGAGGACAGGAAGGGCCAGCTCCCTCCCTCCTCTCCGTCTCAGAGTAGCTCCTCACCACCTCTCAAGAACCGTAGTAGTTCTCGCCTGGGGTGCACCATGACCCAGGGCCAGGGCTGAAACGTGTCTGCTGGTGTTAGGGGTGATTTCCAAAAGCTTCCATTCTCTGCTGGCAGCCACAGTGTACTAAGTGGGTGGGAAGGTATGGGGAAGTAAAATCATTTCTGTTGATTTTCTTCTCGAAGGAAAACAAGATAACACACTAGTAAATATGAGAGGCCATGAACTTAACCTTTGAGACAGAGCTCGGACCACCCACAGCAGGATCACCTGGGGACTTGCTCAAAAAATGCCCTCTGCTTGCCAAGACAGCTGGCAGGACATGGGCAGCTGAGGGCACCCTCCTTCTCACAGCACCCTACACTCAGGGGTTGAACCCCACAGGGCACAGGGAACCGTGTCATGGGGTTACTGTCTCACTTGGGACTTTTGGAAGAGGAACTCTGTGGTTGACACACACCAGGTTGGGTCCCTTGTGCTGCAAACCCTTCTGGTGCAGCCCACAGCTGATAAGTCAAAGTCCAGGCTCTTTCACTGGACATCTAAGTCCTGTCACCTTGTCATTTAAGACTAGCCTCTCCAGCCACGCTGGTGCCACAGCCCTTCATACTCTCCTCTCACCCCCAACCAGTTTTGGGTCCTCCCAGGGTTCCCTGTGGTCACAGAGTACACTCCACATATACCCAGGCACCTGGGAGGGCACACACTCCTTCTTGGGTCAGGTCCAAGCCCAGAGTCACCTCCCAAGGGAGACACCACCCTGTACTTTGAGCCCTGTGGTTCCTGGCACAGAGGCCACCATCACACTTTGGATCCTGTACATGTTCCTATGCACACAAGGACAGGGGCTGCATCTTGCTCCTCTCTGTCCCCAGCACCTGGCACAGCACTGGCATAGGGCGGGCATGTGCTGGACACTGGTATTTCTGAACAACAGCCAGATGATCTACCATCCAGAGCTGGCCTTTACCATGCAGAGGGCTAAGGGGCAACTCTCAGCCAGGGAGTAGGACTGACTCTAAAAGGTCAGGCCAATGCCATAGATAGGACCCTTCTGGAACAAGTACAAGCTCAAAAAAAAAAAAAAAGCATTGCCAGAGCAGGAGAATGAATCCAGAGAACACCCAATTCACAAAGGCTCTAGGCTGAATCCTCTCCTGATAGGCATGTCTTTCCACCCAGAAAAACCCTCTGACCAAATGATGTTTTTGTAAATAGGAAGTATGGCCAAGATGGCAAGAGGCAGGCATCCCTCTCCTACAGAATAAGTTGATCTCATGTGGCACAGAGAATTTTTAAAAAGCCACTAATAGGCTATGACTGAAGTCACTGCGGGATAAAAAGTCGGTCAGTGGTTAAGAAGCAAAGTGCTTACATTCGCAATTTCCCTCTCTTTTTCCAGTCCTCTCCGCGAGAAGGCACCTTGGAGATCATTCTAGAATGTTGGCTCTTCACTTGTGGGGACCATGGATGGGCCCTTCTGAGGTAGGAAAGTGGTATATAAGATAGACTTGGGTTCTTCTCAAAGTTTCCCCACTAATTTGCTGTGCCAGGTACTCTCCTACTGACCAGTTGAATGACCTTGAGCAAGTTCCTTTCATGGCCTCAGAATCTTTCTTATAAAGAGGGCTTGGTTAGAGAATCACACTTTGCAGAATCGCTCTGAGCATGAAATAGAAAATGTATGGAATATGCTCAGCTCAGAGAAGGTGCCCCAGTATTTCCTTTCTTGCTTTTTTCCCTTTGATCTCAGAAGACAGGCAGCATTCCCCGCCCTTCTCTCTGGCTCATGGTTCTTCTCCTCTGAGGCTCCATGATTGTCACCCTCCTCCTCTTCCTCCTCCTCCTCCTCCTCCTCCACCCCCCACCCCACCTCCTCCTCCATTAGAAGCCACACT